GCCAAGATGCCAGCATATTTGATACGTAATGCTAGCCCGCTCCCTGGGTCACAGGTGGTGTCTTTCGCTGTCTTTATACGGTGGGAGGAGCCAAGGGTCTCTCTTGAGTCTCTCTTCATCTGGGCACTAACCTCATTCAAGAGGGATCTACCTTCAAAACTGTAGGAGCCATCCATCTTCCTTCTTTACTTTTACATTCTTTCTTTCTTTGCTGCTTTTCAGACAGGGTGTTCCCATGCATCCACGGCTATAACTGGTTTGTAGACCAGGCTGGCTTCACATACTCAGCCGTCCTCCTGCCTCTGCCTTCCGAGTCCTGGGACTGCAGGTATGTGCTACCACACCTGACTCAGGGATGCTTTTGATCTATGGTATTTAAAAGAAAATTGCACTCACCTATCAGAAGACCATTTAAAACATTCCTCTCGCATCAGATCTAAAATTCCCTGCCTACTTTCCCACTTAGTTGAAGGTCTTGCTTCATATTTAACTGATGAAGTAATTCATGTCTTCCAATCAAGCTGCCTACGTGCATCTGCAATTATGGGCTCTGCCCTCCTGCCCTCCCTCCCACTACACTAGGTTAACGAGTGTCCCCCTCTAATCAGTGTCTTACACAGTTGAATACTTAGATCTGGCACTTCCGTCCATATCACTTCCCACACCTCCACACTACCTTGCTGAGGCTGTCAATCAAGATACCATGGACTGGATGGCCTAAAATAGCAAAACTTATTTCCTCCCAGTTGAATGTTAGTTAGATGTCCATCATGTAGATATCAGTCAGGGAGTGGAGGACGGGACTCCTAGACCCTATGAAGAGCTACTGGTCGTTAATAGTTCCTAGAGGGGAGGAAAGACACTTTTTAAAAAGAGATTAATTTATTCTTCAGAGAGGGTAAGGCACATTGCTTTGGGGAAGGTCCAAGGCCCTCCCCATTATGCCTAGGCTGAGCAAGGTATCCATCCAAAGAGAATGGGTTCCCAAAAAGCCAGTACAAGCAGTAAGGATAAATCCTGGTCTCACTGCCAGTGGTTCCTCAGTCTACCCCAACCATACAAATGTCACCCACATCCAGCTGGTCTAGTTTGATCCTATACTGGTTCCTTTCCTGTCTGTCTGGAGTTGGTGAGCTCCCATTTGCTCAGGTAAACTGTTTCAGTGGGTGTCTCCTTCTTGGTCTTGACCTCTTCGCTCATATTCTCACTTCTCCCACTCTTCAACTGGGAGCTCAGTTGCTGGATGTAGGTTCTATGATGACATTTAAGATACTCATCAGTCTGATGACAAGGCAACCAAGTTCAGGCACACTCTCCACAAATGCTTAGGGTCTTAGCTGGGGTTATCCTTGTGAGGTGAGGGGGTAGGTGGAGAGAATGGGAGGAGGCGAGGGAGTGGGAACTGGGATTGGTGGGTAAAATCAAAAAAGATATTTTGTTTTATTTTTTAAAAGATTTATTTATTATGTACACAGTATTCTGTCTGCATTTACGTCTGTAGGCCAGAAAAGGATGCCAGATCTCGTTACATGTGGTTGCTGGGAATTGAACTCAGGACCTCTGGAAGAGTGAGCTATCTCTCCAGTCCCAGAAAGTCACTTTCTTTAGTGGTTTAGCTATTGGTAAATTTCCCCGGCTCCAGTAAATAACTGCTTCTGTAAGCAATCATAATTAAACTCATTGACTCATGAAAATAGTATAGTGTTTGTAGACTGTGGGCAGGGGGCAATGGGAGCAGGAGGGATCAAGTGTGGGGTGGATGAATTGAGAATGTATGTATATGAGAGATGAAATATATGAGAGAAGTAATATATATGAGAGAATAAAAACTTAACCTCGTTATAAAAATAAAATAAAAATTAGCTATGCTACTATGAAAAAGCAACAGAACATGTCATTAGACCCTGGCATTATTGCTCAGTTGGTAGAATGCTTACCTGGCCAACACTAGGTTCAATCCCCAGTACTGCATAAACCAAGTCTGCTGATGCACACTTGTAGTTCCAGCACTTGGGGAGGTCGAAGCAGAAGGATCAGAAATTCAAGGTCATCATAACAACATAAGGAAGTTGGTGGCCAGCCTGGACTACAGGAGACCCCTTTTCAAACTATAAAGTGTGTTTGGCACTTTGTGCATGCAAGTGTCGTCTACATGTCTTCTCATAAAGACACCAGGCAAGCTGGATTAGGGCCCACTAGAAAGACTTCAGTTTAAGTTAATTACCCCTTTAAAGATGCTATTGCAAAATCAGGCACAGTAGTGTATGCCTGTAACCCAGCACTTGGGAGACAGCAAGTCTAAGGATTCCCACAAGTTCAAGGCCGGCCGGCAAGCCAGCCAGGGCTACACAGTGAGATCCTTTCTCCGAACAAGACAATATACTGTGCCACAGAATAAAACAAAACAAACCCTGTCTCCAAATACTATGATATTAATGAGGATCTAGGGATTTAATAGTCAACATAAATTTTCTTCCTTTCCTCTCCCCAACCCCATCTCCCTGGACAGGGTCTCACTCAGTAGCCCAGGCTAGCCTGAAACTCACTTAAGAAGCTCAAGATAGGTTTGGACTCTTAGTGATTCTCCTACCTTAGCCTCTTGGGTGCTGGGATTACAAGCACAAATCACCCTACACTGCCAACACAAATTTTAAGGTGAGAAAATTAAGCCTCATTTAATAAACTCCATGATATGCAGTGATCAATTTTGGGGCCTCTCAGCAGAGTTCACAATATTCAACTACCCTTTGGGAACCCACGGTGCTACGTAAGCGTGACCACTGCTCAAAACCCTAAGAGCTAAGAGTTTTAAGTTTTTTTCTATACATCTTTTTTTAAAGATTTATGATTTTTTTAAGTGTGTGCCTGTGTGTGAGTGTGTGAACAAGAGTGCAGGTGTCTTCAGTGGGCTGAGATAGTAGATCCCCCTGGAGCAGAAGTCACAGGAAGCTGGGAACTGACCAACATGCGTGGTCGGAACAAACTCTGGCAACCTTCGAGGGCACTGTGCTCCTTACCACCAAGTCATTCATAGACATCTTAATGATTCAAGTTTTTTAAACTTTTACTCATTCTTTGTGGATTTCACAACATGCATCCTGATCCCACTTCTCTCCCTGTCCCCTCACATCCTCCCTCCACCCTTGCAGCTCCCCCTTCCCAAATCAAAATCAAATTACTCTCACACACACACACAGAAATGAGAAAGAAAATAATAAGAATCGTGTGGAGGCTGTAGTGAAGTCCATTAAGTCACACAAAATTTTTTATATTTTAATATTTTAAGGACACAGTTTCAAAGGCAAGGGTTTTATTATTTTAAATCCAGTCTTTTAAAACATAACCAAAATAGTGTGGCTATAAATTCCTGAAACTGGGGGCTTTAAAAATGTAAACTTAAGATATATATTGTACTAGTCTCTCCCACCCATATGAAAAATAAAGACAGTTGGAAAGCATCCCTGGGAGATACTTTATTTCGTGCTTATTGGTAGATTATTGCCAACTCCGACTTCTCGGAAGGGTAGATCACAGCAGGGCTTTGAAATGGTCTTGATGCTATTTGCACACCTGAAAATGTTAACATTGTCTTCGGTGGATGAAATAGGAGCAAGTTCTAAGTTCTTCCTTTCAGGCTCACACAGTAGGAGTTTACCACATCTACTACAGAAACTGTCGAATATTTGAGGACATATATCTTCAATTCTAGAGGTGGGGTTCTGAGTTTAGTGATTTGAATGTGCTACTCAGTCAACTGACACTCCCCCACACCCCAAGCCTGTTTTCCCAGTTTCCTGAGAAGCATGTGGAGAGTACCGACATCCAGTTTGAGAAGTTATGACCACTGAAAACACAAGTCATCCAAGCACATATGCCCCTGAAAGCACTGAATAGCATTAGAAATTAATCAGCAAAAAATGAGCAATGGTGTTCAAGAAAAATTTATTAATGGTGCTAAATGAACTGTACTGTCTCAGAATTGACGCCTACTGGCTAGGGATACAGTTAGTTGATTACTTGACTAGCTGTTACAAAGAAGCCCTGGGTTCGATTCCCCGAACCATGTGGCAAAGAATTATTTTTACAAAGGTATTAAAGATGTGTTCTTCTGGAAACACATCTTTCATGACGCTCTGTGTCCTCAGTTCCTTCTGACCTCGTTAGTTTCCATGGGTCTCTTTTGCTGATTGCTCCACTTCTTCCAGATTGGGGACTAATGAGTGCCCCAGGGCTCAGGCCTTGGGCGTCTTCTTTCTTCTAGCCAGATTCATTTCCGGGGTGATTTCATACTGTAAAAGGCCAGTCCTGACCTGTGCCTTGAACTTGAGATTCATATTTCAGCTACCTACTCACCATCCCCACTTGAATGATCTAATCTCGTAGCGTGACTCAGATTCCGTGCCTCAATGCACGAGGCCTGTTCTTCCTAAGGACCTGAGAGGAAGAGAGTTGGATGAACCGTCCACGTCAGTTCTGAAAGGAAGGTCAAAAAGCCTTGGAGTCAGACTTCACTTCCTTTCCTTCTCTTACACGGCTAGTCCAGGCAATCAGTAATGCTGTCCACTTCCTACAAGTTTAGAAGCCATCTTCCTACAGCTCTTTCCACCACTGTCGTCCTGGGCTGAGCTGTTTTGCTTCTCAGCTGGACCACAGCTAAAAGCATTGCCCCCATCGTCCTGCTACCTCTCTTCTTGCCCTATTGTACTGTAGAGAAAAATGAAACGTGTTCCCATGACCACTCCTTTGTGCAAGTGAGTGTCAGATAGTACTCCAGGACTACAAGTTTCCTTATAAACACATAGGAAGGCCAGGCACTGGTGGCGCACACCTTTAATCCCAGCACTTGGGAGGCACAGGCAGGTGGGTCTCTGTGAGTTCAAGGCCAGCCTTATCTATAAATGGAGTTCTAGGACAGCCAGAGCTACACCACAGAAACCCTGTCTCAAAAAAAAAAAAAAAAAAAAGAAAGAAAAGAAAAAAAGAAAGAAAGACAAAAAACACACAGGGAGATAGGACATTTAAAATTCTATTTTTTTATTATTTTCAAGTGTGTGTGTGTATGTACATGTGTGTGCGTGTGTGTGAACTCACATGTGGGTTTGTGCATATGAGTGGCATTGTCCAGGAAAGCCAGGATACTCTGGAGCTAGAGTTATAGGCAGTTGTGAGCTGACTGATGTGGCCGATGAGAACCAAATTCAGGTCCTCTGCAAGAACAGAAAGCGGTCTTAACCTTAACACTCTCCCCATCTGCAGGATAGTAATTTTTTTGACAAGATCTCATGCAGCTCTTGAACTCCTGTTCCTCCTGCCTCCATCTCCCAGTGTGGTTACAGGTAAGGGCTACCATGCCCCATTGTATTTGCTGCTGGGCATCCAGTGCAATGTTTGATGCATGCCTAGCAGGCACTCTAGCAGCACTAATGCATTTCCCAACGCTCATAACAAGTCTTCTAAGACACAAATGAACTATAAGGAAGTGCTAACTCATTCCTGTCACCCCAGCAGGAGGGGCGGGAGTTCAAGATCTTCCTCCATTACAGATCAAATCTGAGGCCAGCCTAGGATACATGAGACCTTATCTCAATAACTAACAGAAAGGGGGGCTGGAGAGATGGCTCAGAGGTTAAGAGCATTGCCTGCTCTTCCAAAGGTCCTGAGTTCAAGTCCCAGCAACCACATGGTGGCTCACTACCATCTGTAATGGGGTCTGGTGCCCTCTTCTGGCCTACAGGCATATACACAGACAGACTATTGTATACATAATAGAAAAGAACTGATATCTTCCTTGTGTTCTCACTCATTCAGTGAGGTTTTCATCATGCTTGGGATGGAAGCAAGTACTTACCATAGACAACTAGGCCTGCATGATTTGGCCTCTGCCTACTTTAAAATATATTTCCTACTAAACTTCTCGCTTGGCCTGCTCCTCCTCCCATGGATTCTTTGCACATCGATAAGTCTAAACCTCAGGGCCTTTGCATTTGCCTTTATTTTAGCCACTAAAATCTCCCTCCTTTAGCCAAGGGGAGTAGTGTGAACCCAGAATCCCAGCAACTAGAAAGCTGAGGCATGCAGATCCCCGCTTTGAAGCTACACTGGGCTATGTTATAACACTCTGTATAGCAAAGGAAGAAGCAAGACCTCCATGCCTACCTCCTCCCAGCATACTGGGATTGAGTTTACACAGGGTCTTGTGCATGATACCACAACTGTCCTTTGGTTTTCCACACTGGGAGATGGACAACCCATTCCTTTCCAGGGTGTGTTCTCTGGGAGGTTGGCCACACTCCACCAAGTGGCTCCATACCCAAGACTATTTGGGCTGCACAAACTGGTACAAAACCAAAGGACCGGAAGTGAGTAGGGAGGTATCGATGGACCTGGGAGGAGTTGGAAAAAAGGGTACATAGGATCAAAATTCGTTGTATGAAATTCTCAAAGAATTAGTAAAGTACTTTAAGACACAGGGGCTAGAGATGGAGCTCAACTGGTAAAGAACTTGCTTAGCAGGTGCAAAGCGCTGGCTACAACCTGCAGCCATGTAGACTGGGCATAGTTTGACCCCAGCTCCTGGGAGGCTAACGCACTAGGATCAGAAGTTTAAGGTCAATTACATAATAAGTTCTAGGCCATTCTAGGATATGTAAGCTCCTATCTCAAAACAAACAAACAAACAAACAAACAAACATCCTCCTAGTAAAAGATTTAAAAACAAAACAAACCCCCAGACTATTGAAAACCCCCATCACTTTCATTTCTCTCTTTGCGTTTCTATTTTAACAAAGCATTTGTCATTTACTCAGCATACTGCATATCTGTTTGTTAGTAACTCCTACCAAAAACTATGTTTCATGACGTCAACAATGTTTTATTTAATGCTACAAGTACACTTGGTGTCAAAAAATTGTTCAGCATATAGAAGACACACAACAAATGATTTTTGAGTGAACAGATAAGTAGGTCCATAGAAGTCAGGCATGGGGGCACAGTGTGCCCAAGCACTTGGGAGACTGACACAGGAGGATCATATAAGGTCAAGGCCAGCCTGAACCTCAGAGTTCCAAACTCTGTCTGAAACAGAAACAAACAAACAAACAAAAACCTGTCCAGCAAGACCCTGAGCTGTCTCCAGTACCACGAAAAGAGAAAAAAGTTCCATGACTTTCTAAGAGTAAGGGCTCTCCTGAGTGGATGGAAAGAGGAGAGAGGACTCTATAAAGGACGGGTACAGTATGTATATATTTTATACAATAAGTGTACGTTACTTCTGTAACGAGATCAATACAATCTGAAAATGGTAGAGATCTGTACTGTCATGAATTTTTTTATATTTATTTATTATGTATACAATATTCTGTCTGTGTGCATGCCTGCAGGCCAGAAGAGGGCACCAGACCCCATTACAGATGGTTGTGAGCCACCATGTGGTTGCTGGGAATTGAACTCAGGACCTTTGGAAGAGCAGGCTATGCTCTTAACTGCTGAGACATCTCTCCAGCCCCCTGTCATGAAAATTTTAAAAAATGATTATAAATTACTATGATGTTATGGTTGCAGTTGTATCTGAATATATATAAACTGGAGAGAAAGGATATCAGAATGTTGTTGCTATAAATACATATTGATCTCACAGGATTTTTAGTATTTTTTATTTTTATTGTTTTTATTAAGCTATATATTTTCTCCCCTCCTCTCTCCCATGACCATTTTTATTTTTAATAATGTGTACATATATACCTATAGGCTGGTATGTACACACAAGTGCAGTGTTCTTAGAGGCCAGGTGTCAGATCCCTTAAGGGTGGAGTTAGTTAATTGTGACTCACCTGTGTGGGTGCTGGAAAATAAACTCTCACCCCCTTTCCCCCTTTTTATTTTATGGGTATGGGCATTTCACCTGCACATATGCATGTGCACAACGTGCTTGCCTGGCTCTCACAGAAGCCAAGAGAGGGTGTTGAACACCTTGGAACTTTAGTTACAGATGATTGTAAGCCATCATGGCTTGCTGGGAACTAAACCCAGATCCTATGAAGGAGTGACCAGTGTTCTTAACTCTCCAAGCCCCCCACAGACAGACTTTTTGTTTTGAGAAAGTTCTCACTCTGTAATCTAGAATTCACTCTGGAGACCAGGCTGGCCTTGAACTCATAAAGATCCACCTGCCCCTTCCTCCTAAGTGCTGGGATTAAAGGTGTTCACCACCATGCCTACCCCTTCTACCCCTCCTTTGTGGTGGTGTTAACATATGAACTGAGGGAGTTCCTAAGAACTGGTAAACACTCTGCCACTGTATTACCTCCCAGCCCCGTAATTATGAAAATTAGATGAACCTCTATATGGTATCTAATGCCTATAATCTCATCACTGGGTAGGTAGGAGGAGGATCAGGAGTTCAAGGCCATCTTCTGCTAGTTTTCAAGACAGTATACATAAATTGTTACTTTTATAACAAGGAAAATAAATGTCATAGTGTGTGTAAAATACTGAAGTCCTTTGAGATTCATAGATGTGCAGCTTTAATTTGCACCCCTCCTCCCCGAAAAGATTTGCATACAATTGATATTCTGAGGAGAGAGAAACCTGGTTGCTTTGGCAGCTGTCTGGGAAGCATGAGGATCTAGGTTCTAGCTGGAGAACAGAAATGAGGAAACAAACCCTGGGCGATCAAGGAGACCAAAGGAAAAATGGATTCTGTCAGTGAATAGAGGTTGATGGGACAAGAAAGAGGGAATCACTTGTTCTCAACCTACAGTGTAGGTTACGACACCTTAGGGGGTTAAGTGACCCTTTCACAGGGGTTACAAATCAGATATTCACATTATGATTCATAACAGCAGCAAAATTCCAGTTATGACGTAGCAGTGAAATAATTGTATGGTTGAGGGTCACCACAATGAGGAACTGGGTTGCAGCATCAAGTGAAGAACCACTGGCTTAGAAGGTAAGGTGTCTGATACCAAGCTAACAACCTGAGTGTATTCCTCAGACTACAGGCAGGAGAGTAACCTCCCACAGATTGTACTCTGAGTTCAATACGCACATCCTTACACACACACACACACACACACACACACACACACACAC